GTTGTTGCTCAATGTTATTTTGTTATTACAATGTTATTAAGTTATAAAGTATTAATTAATTATAAATTTTATATAAATTGATATATAATCAGTGTAACTAAGTGTAAGTTTAAAAATTTACCTCGAAGATATTTTCATATTTTTACTTTATTAGACGTAACATTGTATATATTTTCTATCTTTTCTCTATCAAACATCAATATGAAATTTTTACTTAAATATTAATAAAATTAAATTAATTCATAAAATATGAAAGATACAAATTTCATCGATAATAATATAATCAAAATGTGAATTTATGTTAGGATTCCATTATTATTTAAAGTGGCATTACACGTGGTAGGCGTCTATTCTGATCGATTGATCAATTTCTTCGTGGTTGCTTTGAAACTATCGCAAATTTACAATCACTTTCTCGTTAAAAAATATTAGTATTGACTTAAGCAAAAAGTCACGTACGGAATTAAACTACGGAGAACACAAAATTATAATTCTTATCAAAATATTATTTATTTGTAATTACGTTCTCTCAAATTCTTTTGATTGTCAAAAAGCAAAGAGATTATTATAATATGTTATTGATTTTAATTCTAATATTCTCGTAGTTTGATGCTAATCGTCGCTTTTAGGAATTAAAATTGATTAAATGTAGCAGAAGGATTTAGAAGATAACAACGTAATGAGCGCGATTAGGAAAGTTAAATTGTAGAATTTATCCGCGTCGCAATTATCGCGGTCAGTTGAATTGATCAGCGTGTTGCAATGTGTAGAAATGTCTTGCATGCATGCTACGTGATTTAATTATAGAATGAAAATGTATGAGATTTTAGCATTGTTAATGTCAATCAGATATCATCTAAGAAATATACATATATGTATATGTACCATGTATACGTTCTCGCTTCTTGTTGTAAAATATAATTTGACTACAATTGACATTTTTCTAGAGTTGCAATATTTATTAATCTTTAAAACTTTTTAAATCGATGCTTTATCGCTAGCACGATTACCTAACGTGACCTATCCTTTCTATTCTTGGAATCTAAAATGCGAAGAATATTTTCTTATAGTTGATGAGAATGATGAGCTTCCATTTTATATCTTAAATCTTACATGCAATCTAAAATTGCGATCGCTTCTTCTCACTTTTTTGATAAAACATTTTTACGATTACTTCTTTTTTTATACACAATTACATTATACATAACATGTCTATCACATTTTCTTATAGTTAAAAGTTAAATCTTTTTTTGCACTTGAATTATTTTAAATAATTTGCTTGCTTGTGCTTTTATCTGATTAATGAATCTGCAATTAAGCCAGCCGTAGTAGAAATACCGAAAGTATTTTATTTTCAGGTCTCGGCAGAACCGGTGTTCTGATAGCGTGCTACCTTATTTACAGTCTTCGTGTAAGGGCGAACGATGCTATTAGATTTGTCCGCATAAAGCGTCCCTCCGCCATACAAACGCGCGGACAAATAATTTGTATTCAGGAATTCGAGCACTTTGTGCTTCCGCAATTGATAGTATTTCCTTTGCACAGTACAACGGGGGATCGCAAACCCTATAGCCTTCAATCGTACCTGAAAAAACAATATAACATGCTACACGGATATGAACAGCGCACCTTCAAGCATATTCCAAAAGTGCGAAGCATTCTATTTTTTTCACTTATGTGATGTTAGATTCTTTTATTAAATTTCATGTAATTCTTTTAAAACATTATATGAAACTTTATAATTAAATATTAACTTTATAATTAATATTAATAATTAACACTCTTAATTAATTTTAATTTAATTTAATTTAATTTAATTATTGATAGAATTAGTGTTTTCAACTATTTTTTGTTTGTAAGTCTTATTGGTATTATTAATAAATTTAACATTAGAATTAGATTTTTTAAATTTAATTTTTTTTAGGAAGAAATACCATTAAATAATACCATTAACAATATTTAAAAAATTAGTAAAAAGTAAATAAGAGACGTCTTTAATTTATTTTAGTCTTTATTCTAACGTGTAATCTTTTCGACTTAGTAATTTTGGTTGATTATTATCACAAAAAAAAACGAGCACATATTAATTTTCCATTGTTATTATTAAGATTATCTACGCAAAATATAACTTCCTGATTAATTAACTATGTATTTCTTAGATTGTTTTTATTATTTGCGAGCGGATACTACAGCTCTGCGATTGTCAGGAAGATAATTCGACTTCCGAGATTGCATATACGATTTCCAACGTGCCTTTTACTCAAAAGTTCATTTGTCACGTCTTGGAGAAATTTCGTGACAAGGGTAATATGCGACACTCCTATTCGTGGGCGGAATCCCTTACGGATTCTTATGAATACTCAAGTGAGAGAAATATTACATGCAATTTAATAATTAAGCAATTTATGAAATTAACCATCGCCCATTCCTGAGATTATCCGATTAAGTAATTGAATTGTTTGTGGAATGTTTTACTTTCGATTAATATCTGTACATTTATAAATATATTTTTTTGTTTAAATACTCTAAAAATAAAGTAAATATATAAAATTGATACTTTTTGAACATATTTCTTAATTTATTGATTAATTTATTTATTCTTGATTTATTTAATATATCTTAGAAAGCAAGAATTAGTGTCAAAATATTTATGACCGTTACTGTTTATATTATATTTATATATTATATATTTTAGCTTCCACAAAAGTGTGCAGTAGTAGTCAAGATTCGTCCCGAGATACCTGTGATGATATAGGAAGATTGAGTGACGTATTTTGTATGTCACCAGATACTCCTTCCTGTGACTCCACATTTCCAGGTACTATTAACAAATTTTAATGTGGCTTTTTCGATGGTATCATCGACATCTATTTCGATGATATCTCGCTAAAGTAATGTGCACATCTTACAATGGGACCTTATATACTGTAACAGGTCTGGACGACAGTTGCGTGGATGATGTCTTAGGTGATGGCATTCACGATCAGGATCTGCTTGATAATGACTGTTACAAAGAGATTCAGTCGCACATCGACTTGAGAAGCGTCTCTCGTAATGATTATGAAACAGTAACAGCCGAAGAAGCTATCAAAGCGCTCATCAAAGATAGTGTTTCACTTCCTATAAAGAAACGTTTGCAGAATTATCAGGTATATTTTATATCTATACCAAAAAAATTTAGACACTTTACTATTTCCAGCGTGTACATTAATTACTGCATATATATATACAAATCATTCATTCAGTTACTTCAAACATATACAGTTGCTTGAATGCCAATGGTTACAGTTGGTTGTAGAATCATAAATAATGAATAGTAAGTATATAAGCTATATGCTTACTGACAGAATGAATCAATTTGGCGTATAACGTGGATGTATTATGTGTGTGTAATATGACTGTGTCTATTTTTAAAACTGTAATCAAATTGCAATTATTAATCCTAGTTATGTTAAAGACATAATTTTATGTCTTTAAGCCACACATACATTACCGTTTCAGAAGTTATAGCAATCTGAATATCGAATATATGTTGAATTAAGAAATAATAACCAAAATTAAAAAAAAAAAGAAAAATAGAAATGTTTTTATCTTAGTTTTCAAAATAGCATAAAACAATTAGATTGTTAAAAAAATGTAACATAATAATATTCAATTATAGAAAATTATATAAATATTAACTATAAATAATAACGTATAATAATAATTTTTCTGATATTTTTTTATTTAATAATCTGTTCATAATGCTATGCGTTGTTACAATAAACAATAATGTTAAATTAATAGTAAGAAAATTAAAAATATATTTTCAGAGTGACTTAAATCATCGATGTACTGCTTGGCAGCGATTAGAATTGGAAACTAATTTGGAGTTATTATCAGCATTATTGTTCGAATGGTTGGAAAATCTTAAGCATCCTCTTCTTGACGTTGACAGCCTCAGTTACATTGTCGTGTGGAGTTCAAAGCCACAGCGATGCCTTGAAAAGCTATCTGTTTGTACAAGATACTTATTAGAATATCTTTTGCGGTTCGTTACTCGCTTAAGACCTGTGACAGCTGAAAGCCAGAGTTTAATTACCAAAAGGCTAATGGCGGCACTGACGCAGCAAACAATTTGGATCAAAAATTATTTTCATCCCCCACGTATGTAAATTTTTTAATCGTTGGCAATTTTTAATTAACAATTATTTTATTAGATAATACTATTATATATAACACAATAAGTGTCACACTATGCAAATTTATATAATCAGAATAATAATCTTTAAAATAGTCCCTAAAAATAATATTTGCTTAAAGATGTTTAGAGACACGTGGTATAATTGTATCCTATCCATCAGTTCTATACCTTATTTACGTCATATCACAATCCCCAGAAATATCGATTTGTCCAACACAGTCCGCTTTTATCCTATTTATATTTCAATATCGATAATCTTTATGGCGACACTGCAAAGAACACAGACTCATAGACACTAATTTTTGTTATTCTGTCGCTTTCCATTAAGTTAATACTAATATAGAAATAAATAACTTTTTGACATTGTTGTCTTGGATTTCAGATAAACATTTCCAGAAATTGCGACGCGGTACTGCTGGTAAGCTCAATGAATTCTTCATTCGCCTGATGAATTTGATAGAAGAAGTTAACACTCAAGGATTAGACAAGCCTCCATGGGCGTCGAAATGGGAATTATTATCTAATCACTTGCGGGATATAGATAGTCAGAAAAATAATGGATAATTGTGATAAATTTACAGTTTAGCATTCCGACGAATTTTTTTCTATTTGCCAACAATATAGATAAATTCTATAATTATATATATATATTCTATAATTTATTTTTCACCAGGTAGGAACAAACAAATAATTTATAAATTATGCGAATCATTCGCAATATTAACAATTATATTAACGATTTTCTTACTATAGCAGCTCTTGAAAAATATCTAGTCTGTAATAGCAGCTGCAGGTCGTCTAAGCAAGATTTAACTCACTAATGTCCATTTTCACCAATGTTAACTTTAATCTCGGTTCAACTTATTCTTCGTCTTTTTCTAATTCTAAAGATTAGAAAAAGACGAAGAGTAAACCGAGATTAAAGTTAATCTACATTGGTGGGAATGGACATAAAAAATTAAAAGATGAGTTTTATAACAATATAAAATAGAGAATACCTTTGTTATTGTATTAAGACTTCTGTTCACTTACTATCACTATTTCAAGTCGTGACGTCAAAAGCAAGAAGAATATACAATAAAGATATATGTATATATATATATATACCAAAAAC